GTGGCAGTGCATGAGAGAGACGGGTTTCAATGTTCTCTTTGTGTGTCTGCAGCCTTCAAACCCTTTTGGAAATGCTACCTCGTTCTCTCTATTCTGAAAACCTTTGTGCAACATTAGTATTGTTTATCTGCTACACGTTCCATGCAATTTCCTGGCCTCCAGCTTAGAGCAGTGGTTCTCAACCTGTGGGTCACGACCTCTTTGGGAGTCAAACAACCCTTTCACAGCGGTTGCCTAAGACCATCGGAAAAACATCTTTCCAGAAGTGAGACACTGCTCCTCTATCCATCTCCAGGTGGGTCCGCCCACATGCAGATACGCCCACACGCGAGTACCCAGCATGAAGACTTACCCATGCTACACCATGCTTCAAGCCAAAATTTCATTTATTTGTAATTAGAAATAAATATTTCACAATATTAATTACGTATTGTTTTTGTGATTAATCACTATGCTTCCATTATGTTCAATTTGTAACAATGAAAATACATCCTGCATATCATATTTACATGACAATTCATAACAGTAGCAAAATTACAGTTATGAAGGAGCAACAAAAATAATTCTATGGTTGGGGGTCACCACCACATGAGGAACTGTATGAAGGGTCCTGGCACTGGGAAGGCTGAGAACCGCTGGCCTGGAGGGACTTGCACCTCTCCTCCAAGGTCATGCGCCAATCTGAGAAGCTTCCCCAGATCCTCCCCCACCCTGAATCTTTCCCTGTAGCCCCACCCATCCCCCACCCCCACCCCTACCCCTGCCCAACCTCATCTCGGAGCATTTTGCTCCCTGACTGCCAATTAGCATGCTTCAGGGGATTTTAGTGTGATTTCTTGCTTTACAGACTTGCCTTCCCAAATGTGTTTTTCTCCTCCTCCTCATACATTTTCAAACTTATTGGCCTACCTCCTCCTTTCCAGGAAAAAAAAAATTACACAGTGCCCTGCTGGCAATTAAGAACGTTTGTACTATAGCCCACAGCCCAGGATAAAGTGCAGCATTTGCTTTTGCAACATCCCCTGGATTGATTGTTCCAGGTGCTCTGGTGGCCTAATGGTTATTCATTCAGCTGCTAACTACAAGGTCAACAGTTCAAATCCACCAGCCACTCCATGGGAGGAAGACGAGGCTTTCTACTCCTGTTAAAAGTTGCGGTTTCAGAAGAAACCCACAGGGCGAGGTCTGCCCTGTCCTCGAGGGTTGCTGAGTCAGAACCAACCCAGTGGCAGAGAGTGGATTGTTCCCGAGTGCCCCTGAGGGGTGGTATTGCCCTCTGGGAAACACTGCTCTAGGTCAGGGCTGGAGCTTAGTCTCCACACACTCTCCCAGGTCCACCAGCTTCCCTGCATGCACTCAAGGGACGGATACGCTCACTGCTTCCAGCCAGTGACTGCCATGGCCACATCTGGGTAACAAGCTCCACCACGCTGCTGTTAACACATCCCATCAGGCCAGCACACACTAAGTGAAGAGGTGGCTGCATTTCAGGAAACGGCCAATCGTTCAAATAATTCCACAAGGACCGGCTGCTCTGGGTTTGTGGGGAGGGACCAAACGCAGGAGGGAAGGTGGGTCTGTCCTGCCCCTGGGGGAGCACCGAGCACAGATACTGTTTCACATCGCTTCCTCCTTGATCAGTCTTTCCAGTAAGTGGTTTCCCTCCAGAGCAGACAGACAAGCCCAAGGAAAACCCTCTCTTCCTGGTTTCCAACCCGTTAATGGCTATTTAATGTCTTTAAACAGAGGTCCTCAAACTGCAGAGAACGTATCGATTGCAAACCGCTCTGAAGAGGGAGGAGGCAGCGGGAGGTCATTCCTGCTGAGTGGGGCCCTGCAACTTGATTTGCTCCCCCTCAATGACATCCCAGACCGCTTCTCCGTCGGCATCCACATCTAGAACCTCTCCAGCCACAGGGAGCTCACATTGATCGAACCTTTCACGTGTGTGTCCTACTCTGTGCTTAGCTCAGCTCTCTGAGAAGTTGTTATTCTTGCCCTCATCCTACACCTGGCGGATGGAGGCTCAGGGAGCAGAAGATGCTTGCCTAAGATGCCAGGGCTGGTCAGAATCCATGCCATCTGGTCTGACTCCCGGACCTGCATCCCTCGCCTCTCAGCTCCCAGGCAGGCAGGCCGGCCGGCCAGGCATCACAGTTCATAGGCTTCAGCGTAAGTGAGTCACCCGTGCAATAAAAGAGACACTCAGTGGAGTCTTTGAGGTTGGCTCTGTCCCAGGACAAGTCACTCCCGACCCCCCCACCCCATGAGTCTTGGTATCCATTTCTCTAAAACGGGTATGATGGTACTTTTCTCTCTGAATTGGCCTGAGAATCATAGGTGGGATAGGCAGAGAACCCAGGCCAAGCACTGAGGCACTCCATAAAAGACAGCCATCCGCACCATCCTCGGGAGAAAGACGGGGCTTCTACTCCCATAAAGAACCCCCACAGGGCAGTCCCACTCTG